AAAGTCAATTCAGAAATTCTTGTAACACCACATAAGGATCACTTGTTTATACCAATAAAACCAAGATACCATCAATTTTACCATAGTCTGGGTAGAGGAAGTAAATCAAAATTGGATGAAAATACAATCTAACAAAGCTCTTTGGTGTCCTGCTTGATGCTAACAAATTCCATTTCAAAGCAACCGTATTCAGTAAAGACTACTGAAATTGTCATTTTTTACATCATTTTTATATTTATTGTACAATAAATCTTAACAGTCTTCTATATATGACTTGTACACATACTATGTGACATAGTAGCATGACAAAGTATTGTGTGGACGGGTGCAAGAGGTTAGACACAACCAGCAAGCTGATATGAACAGCAACAAGAGTATTAGCAANTGCGTTTTCTGAGGTGAGGGGGGCAAATATTATATGCATCGTTCAACTATTTCAGAAAGCTGACCAGCTCAAATATTCAGATGCGCGTGATACTTTGTCTCAGTCGGACTTCACTCAAACGGACACCGTGAGGAACCCGAGGCCGATCCCGAGAGCGTGGCTAGCTCCCTCGCCGTGCTCTCTGCCGGGTAGTGAGCTGACGCAGGCAAGCCTTCCGTGCCCGCTGCCCTACATTACCCGGGCCACATCCTTGAGCGCGCTTATGCGGTAGCTCGCGGGCAGGCATCCCGCTCGGCTTTGGCTCTTTTTTATGACAGTGTGAATCACTGTTAAGGATTTATTGATTTCTCTTGGTTGTTTTTTATTATTTTTCTTTGATTGGTAGAGTGATTATGGTTTCTGCATTCAATAGGCGAGTTTTATTATTATTGTTATTATTATTGTTATTTATTATTATATTATTATTATTATTATTATATATATTATTATTTTATTTATTATTATTATTATATTATTATTATTATCATTATTGTTATTATTATTATTATTATCATTATCATTATTATTGTTATTATTATTATTATTATCATTATCATTATTATTGTTATTTTTACTATTATCATTATTGTAGTTTGCGTGTGTGTAAAAGCTTCCATTAATAGAGTAAAGTTCTCTAGTGGCTTGTCTTTTTCAAGACATTTTCCTATTAATTACTAATTACTATGATTTATTTATTTGCAGCCCTTCATGTCTCCAAGGTACCCAGGAGGGCCACGGCCAGGAGTTAGGATGCCACAGATGCCCAATGACTTCAACGGGGTATGTATGTGATGGATGAGGTATACAGTAAAACCATCGCTCAGAGATATGGAGTGATCCAAGAAAGTATAGAGCAGTTATTTCTGATGTGTTATTTTTTTGTTGTTGTTTGTAAAAGCTCCACAAAGTTCAAAATGTAGAATGTTTTTATAACTGATTGAAAAACAGAATTGCAGTGTGCGTGTTTTTTGTGAGTTCTTATGTGTTTGGAAAATCAAAAGCTCTTTTGCAAATGTAAGTAATTAGAAGCTAAACAAAGGGAAAAACTACAAACATATTTTAAAAATTTGGAAAGAAATTAGGTTTTGATATTATTAGCAGCAGGAATTCAGAAACACAAAGCCTAGTAGTCAAGATGCTCGGAAAAAGATAGTTATGGAATGGTGTTGTGAAATAAAATAGCAGTCATTTAAGGAAAGGCCTTGTAGTTTTTTGGAAAGGGCACCATTTTGAAAAGGTAAGGTTAGATGCTTATGTAGCTGTGAAACCAAAGAAACTTAACCAAAAGATGGCATATTTGTCTTAGATTCTGCAGAAAAGTGGCTAGTTGTAGGATTATAGTTAATGATTAGTATATGGTACTAAAGTTAGGGTAAAGTCATTGATGTGAATTATCTCAACCATTATTTTATTAAGTCAATTGAGTTATCATTGTTGCATTTTGTTTTTATTGTAAAAGATACAATATATTCAAGAGAATTGGGTCAGTGAATTCATAGTTTTAAAGACCTGTTTTGGATGTGATTGAGTAATGATTTGAACTTGGTATGATGGGAAACACAAATCCCACAAAGATGATATGCTGTTGACGTAAAACTGCACCATTAATGAATGTGATTGTCATGCCGCAGCCTCCAGGACAGCCAATCATGCCGAACAGCATGGACCCCACACGCCAAGGTGAGTATGGGTTCTGTAGCTCATGCCTTTCTCGAGATATATCATGCAAATTTTTCTTTCTTTTTATTTTTAAGGTTGAAAATTGCATGTCAAGCTTTTGTTTTAGTTTAGCATCCTCTTCACTGCATTTACAGCATATTTTTTGTTATTTTTTCACATAACTATGTTTAAATATAAATGGGAGGAATATGCTCTTGTTTTTTGGAAGAAGAATGTCTTTCTATATATAAAAAAAAACAAAAAATCCTGCTGTAAGTTATCCTATCTGGTGTTTGTCCATCTTAACTAAAACACTTTTTGAGCTTTTTATTATTTTCCTTTTATTTATTTGTTTATTATTATCATTATGATTTAGTTTCACATGAGTATTCAGTTAAGTTGTGTATATAATTGTTGAAATTATGTCTGAGTTAAAGCTGGTTAGGTTGCATGTTTTAGCTTAACCTACTTCTTAAGATAAGAGTTTAAAAAGACAAAGAAAAATCACGGCTGCAAATTCAAGATGTTTGTAGAAAGTAGCTTGGTACATGTGCTGTGTTGGTAACACATGGGTATGTTATCTTCCATATGCTTCCACATTCTCTCTGCTAAAACTCCACTTGTTTGGCAATTTTTATTTTGCTTTACATCAGATCTACTGCTGTGACACTTTTTTGGCAGATAGAAGATAATACTTCTTTTTGTTATCTACACTTCCCCCCCCCCTCTTATCCAGCCATCAGATTAGTGATACAACACTGTCCTTGTCTTTCAAATGAAGAGATATGAATGCCATGTAAACACCCACTGTAAAGAAATAAAAACGAGTAAATACCTAAATACTGCGGAATAATAAATATCCACTGTTATCTCTGCAAATGAGTGATTATCCATAGATAATACTCTTGTCATTGAGTTCAGAAAACATTTGTTTGTGAAAGTAAATACCCACTGTCATCAACTAAATGAATTACAACCCATTGATAACCTTCTTAGTAATTACTCCTGAAAAGATCAACCTCATAGACACAAGATTCAAACCAAACAACAGAGTGATTCTAGAGCCCAGAAGAAGTGCCCTTTTTTTTAAAGATATATCCCATAGATGTGCATATAAACACTGCATACATTATTGTGTGTGTGTTCGTGTCATCACTTTCTGCCTCCATTTGTGAATGTTAACACACCTTTTCAATGTACCTCAGATTATCAATGACTAAATTTCATCCCTCAGATGACTCAGAAACCTTTTTTTCCCATAATTTATTTTAGTATTTTTCTTTTTTTTCTTTTTTTTTATTAATTGATTATTGTTATTATTACTTTTTATATCAAAGGAGTAACACACCTGATCCCATACATAGCTGGTGTTGATAGAAGCCATGCTCAGCTGCCTCACAGGTCACTCACAAAGACTAATGCCCAGCTGGGTCCTGCATGGTGCATGTTTATCTGCATACAAAATTATTTCTATAAGTCATCTTGCTGCAGCCAGTTTGGTCCACCAAGTGCCTGAGAGCCTCCTGTGGACAACTCTGAGCGCTGACTGGGTTAATTTGAATTTGTGAAACTGATACCTTGTCAATACAAGATGCAGTATCATGTGTTATTCTAGAACTTAGCCATCATTATATGTGTAAGATATATTGTTGATTAAATATTGTGTAGGCACTTTCATTTTGCAAACAGCATCAATTTGATTTTTTGTATTAGTGCATATTAATTTTATAAAGAGTAGACACATATAATTAATTAATATTTCTTTCCAGTGCATCTTTGTTGATGAGAGTATTAGCTCATCTCATATATTTGTATTTTGTTAAGGACATTGATATACTCATGTTCAAAGAGCAAGCAAAGCTCTTTACTCTTTGAGTAAGTCACCCAGATTCACGTAAGTACTAATGCGCCCTAGCAGATGATACACAGCAGGCAGCTCACAACACCCACTGGCTGGGTCACCTGGCAGATAAAGAAAACTATGTTGTGGTGATCAACATGACACTGAGGGAGACTGAGGTTGTCAGGTTTCAGACTTGTGGAAGAGGCATAGAAAACATCTTGAGTCTTTGGGTTGCCATGTTGTTGACAATGGTGTTATGCAGCGTTTGCAGACTGGTTGTAATGGATGCTGTTGTGTTGGTATGGAGTTGTGCAAAATTATTACTGGATTTTGATACAGTGGGTAGCATCCAGCTCACCAAGAACAAAAGGAATCTTGAGGTGTTTGAAAATTACATTCTTATACAAACTGTAATGTGAGGAAAACTTTGAGCGAAAGTCCCTCCAATAAAATGAGAGCTACTGGGTGATTTAGCGTTAATCATCCATAATAAAACATAAAAGATAGCTAGATTTGAGCAAATAATAAAACAAAGCATAAGCCACAGGCTTTTATGAGCATATAGAGTACAAACAATGCTCGTTTTTCATCAGATAATGAAATGGCCCAGGGTTGAGAAGGGACAGAGTCCATATTATGAGGAAATACAAGGTTAAAACAGTAGTTTAAATATTGTTAACAAATACCCTAAACAAAATTTTGTTTCACTTTACATGCATGCGTGTGTACTTCCCTTCAAAATTTTGTCCAGTGTGTCCATGTTCATACAGCTTTTTTCACTGTGTCTCATAATGATAATTGCTACATTATGTCTGAGTCAGTCATACTTACTATGAGATACCTGAAATATATTACTCTCAACATTTTTGTAAGTCAGCCTTAAAGTTCCATATCCAAGTTTTTGAATTAAGCTTTGAGTTCTTTGTCAGACTTGCATTAATGAAGCATTTCTTCCTCTCTTCCATTCAGGAGATGGAGACTTTGTTGGGTGGCAAGGTAGGAACTCGCCTGGCAAGTTCCCTCTCCACCAATCAGATCTTGGATTGATCCATCTCCATCACTCAGAGCTCAGGA